TTGCGTCTGAAATTGAGGCTTTCCGATCTTGTGCTAGGAAGGATCTTTACAGCTAGAATATTTTTTATCTATGGTAAATTAGACATAATTAGTGATTGTAAACATAAGCTATTTTTGAATATTCGTAAATATAATATACATCATAATATTTCTTTAAAGTAACCCAATAAAATAAATAAATAAATAAATAAAATAAAAGAATGTTCCTGTGATTCCCGAGACCTCACTCCGCCAGCGCCATATTCACAATTTCTTTTATATAATAATAGGCTGTACGTATTACTTCTCTAATGATTAGTTACAGCAGTCAAGACTCAACCCTACTGACGAATGCGAGGCAATAAAAGTGCACGTTTCAAAGCAAAGGCCGCTAATTTGCCTTCTTTCCTCAGAGGAAACCTACTTGGCTTTTCGTCTCTTTCCTTCCTTTGTTCTGCAGTCTTTGGGTTCCTTTGCTAATGAAAATGTGGACCGTTCCCGTAATTCTCTCTTTTTTTTTTTTTTCTTTTCTTTTTTTTGATTAATGCTATTTCTGTTTTTATTGTATCTATTCATTATCTGTTTGTTCTTCCAATGCTGGGTCTACGCTTTCAGCAAAAGTATTTGGAGTTAGATTAAATGCATTTTTCTTGTAACATTCTTTAGTAATGTTGATTGTAGTATAGCAATCTCGACTATTCTGTTCTGTGTATTTTTAATTTGTAACCATTAATGCTCTTATGTAGTCTATACTTTCAATATCAGAAGCATCTTGACCTGAATTTAGTGATGGAAAATAAGCATTTTCCTTGTAACATACTTTTGAATCATTTGTGCTAAACATATATTTGTGGGAGTGGATATGAACAGGAATACGAGTGTGAGTGTAAATGTAAATATATTTTTTTATGAGCATTGGCTGATTATGAGTAAGGGCGTGAGTGTGAGTAGAGTATAAAAGTGAATGTGAATATGAGTATGATTGCATGTTTGTGTGTTTATGCGATAATAAATTAAATAAGCCAAGCAGGAAAATAAATATGACTTGCACTCAAAATTCAACATAATATAACCTATAAACATCAAAAAGTCTACCTCAGTCAGAGATACTGCAAACGTTCATTTCACGAATATTAATAAACACATCAATAAATCACTTTGATACCTTATCTGAAATCTGGCGAACCCAACTCTCTTTGGTGCTTCCTGGCAATGCGATGAAACTGAAAGTGTATTCTTATCGCGTCTATATCTTAACGGTGAAAATAAGTCGAACAGTAAGAACCTTAAATATTTAAAATACGTTTCCATATCAATTACCAAATATAAAATCTAAATAATCACAACTGCAATGAGACAAGCCGTGTAATACTGACTATTGTTTCGCAAGGTAAAAGTTATAGCAATGATTTGAAAATAACTGAAATGAAAGTTTGTGAGATACAAAGTTCGTATCACACAGCTATCAAAAGCTCGTAGATTTCAATTCTAAAATTTCATTATTATTATTATTATTATTATTATTATTATTATTATTGTCATTATTATTATTATTATTATTATTATTATTATTATTGCCATCATTGTTAACATTACTATCATTATTACCTACCTTCAATGCCATTACTATTGTTATGATTACCATTAATATCATAATCATTTCCATTCCCATTCCCTTTATCAATATCATTGTTATTATTACTATTACTGTTAACATTATAATTTTTGTCATAATCGTTATAATAATAATCTTTATTATGATTGTCATTATCATTATGATACTAATAATTACGATCACTTATAATTATAATCATAATAACTATAATTACAATATCATTATACTTGTAATTATAATAATTATAATTACGATTATCATTATACTTATAATTATAATAATTATAATTACGATTATCATTATAAGTTGTACCATTGTTATCATTATGTCATAATTATTATGATCATCATTAACATTGATATTGTAATGTTACACTTATTATTGTTATTTATATTATTACTATCATCATCATCATTGTCGTCGTAATCGTTATCATCATTACCATCACCATTATCATTATCATTATCATTATCATCATCATCTTCATTATTATTATTATTACTATTGTTGTTATTACCATCATTATTATTCTCATTATTACCATAATCATTATCATACTTGTCATAGTTACTGTTATTGTCATTATCATACTTATAATCAAAGTTATTGACATCATTATTATTTTTATTGTTAGTATCATTTCTATTATCATTATCAGTATTAATGCTATGAATATTATAATTCTTATCATTATTACTATTACTAGTATCGTTATCATTATCATTACCATTATCATTCTTGCCATCATCTTTTCAATCATTTTACCATTCCTATGATAATTACCATAATCATTACTGTTATCATCATCAACATAATTATCATACTATTACCATTACCATCAATATCACAATTACTACCATTACATTATATCTACTATTATCTACCGGTGATACCTACATCCGTAACCCGATTACACATACGGAAAAGAGGTTAGACAGATAAACATAGCTTATCAAAACCTTTAAAGCCATGTTTTTTTTTTCTCCCATGCCTATTGGGGCGGTCGATGAACTTTTGCCTCATTCGTCTCGAAACTGTTAACAAACTTCTCAATGCGACTCGGACAAAACACACGAATTTCTAGGCATTCCCGTGCTATCATTGTCAAGAGACCCACATTACGGTCCAATATTTCCCCCCCTTTCAGATAAAGAAAATATATTCTTACTCTGTTTAAATGCGCAAAGATTCCCTGATGGGATATGCAAAGTCAGCAGAAGAATTTCCAGTTGGAAGCATCATTTACGGAAAAGGAAATGACGTTGGCAAATAGATGACGCTCTGGAGAAGCCTCCCCTGCCAAGACCAGTCTCCATTGCGTAACGTGGCTGGCAGAGAGCGAGCGTTCTAAAGAGCTCGAGAGCCTGATAACCTTCGGCAGCAAAGTTCCGTAAAGTTAACGGTGTTATTGCAGACATATATTTATTTGTTCTGGGATCTTAACTCCAGCTTCAGCGTTCTTCATCCTTGTCATGCTCTCCTCCACTTTCCCAACTGGTCTCCATTGTTAGATGCCCTTCGCGTCACAATACCTGCTGACCCCCCACTCCCTACCCCTCCTCCATCCCTCCCTATCCCACTTTTCTGCCCCGAGAGCCTTTGTCGGATTGCGTTAATCTCTCTCTCTCTCTCTCTCTCTCTCTCTCTCTCTCTCTCTCTCTCTCTCTCTCTCTCCTCTCTTCTCTCTCTCTGTGTGTGTGTGTGGTGTGTGTGTGTGTGTGTGTGTGTGTGTGTGTGTGTGTGTGTGTGTGTGTGTGTGTGTGTGTGTCTATCTTTCTATCTGTCAGTCTGTCTGTCTGTCTCTCTCCATAATTCCAGACCTGATCGCCATTAATACGTAGAAACAAATCTCGTAAATTGAAAAAATCCCAATAACCATCACCTTTCCTCATTTCTTACATTTTCCTTCTACAAAGAGTTATATTTTGAATAATTTGTTATGATATTGACTGAGGGAGAATTATGGATAAAAATCTGCATTAGAATTACCTCTAAAAAGGGAAAAAACACGAAAGGAAAATAATATATGATCAGGTCGAAAAACAAGTGTATATGATACTCTACGGCTGAATAGGGAGGCAGTACTATATAAACAGTAACTAACCAAAATATTACGCTATCTGGTGCTTCCGCTGGCGCACGTGACGCGAAAACAATCCCTCAAATTTATAAACCGTACTTTTGCTTCCGACACGCTTCTCATTCATTCTCTCTCCTCTCTCTTTGTCTATCTGTCTGTCTGTCTGTCTGTCTGTCTGTCTCTCTCTCTCTCTCTCTCTCTCTCTCTCTCTCTCTCTCTCTCTCTCTCTCTCTCTCTCTCTCTCTCTCTCTCGGACGGCGTATGATCAACCTTTCTGCATTCTTGAAGTTGCATCCATTCTAGTGTGCACATGCTCGTTATCCCTTTTCCGTGTTTGACCTCGAGCAATTGACCTTGTTCTGCAGCAGTCGATGACGTGCGCCACACCCACTGCGCTATCGATGACATTTCACATTTGAATAAGCCTCGGCGCTCTCTATCAGCTCCCTCGTAGATTTTGCACTCGTGCGTCTCTTTCATAAGAGTGGCATGTGCCATTTCGTAAGACATCTAAATGCTTACCATAGATTTTATTGTGAACTAAGCTACCCGCCGCTGGTTGATTTTATATAAACCTTCTTCAAGTGACTGCAAGCAAAATAGGGCTATAATGCTATATGTAGATAAGTACACTTTACAGACGTTTCTTAAGCACACGAACAAAAGCGCAGTTATTCGTAAAGCCTCAGACGAATTATGTTGAATGAGATATAATTTTTTTGCTCGTTTTATGATAAAATGCGGATGATAAAGTGATGACCATGCCAGGAGATTGGTAGATTACAATTCAAAATCCAATCGCCGGTGCACCATTTCAAGAGTTCATTGACCCCTGTCCTCTGAGCACCACAGTGTTGCCATATCGCCTTGAAGATTTCTTTTTTTCCTTCCTACTCACAGTATTTAAATTCGTATGTCATTTAAAGCCTGAAAAAATTACGTCATAACACCAGTGTATTAACAATCAATAAAACCAAACGAAGGATCAAACATTTTCGAGTGAGATCTGGACGTTAGTGGCACAACCGCAATCAGTGAAAGCGGCGTTTTCAAGGCGCCAAATCTCGTAGATAAATACTCTCGTTGTAGCTTTCATCGGTTAAATTATTTATGGCGCGGCGGAGAGAGTTATCATGGTGAGGACGTCAAGTAGCCATCCATATGTCACCTTATTTAAGTCAGCAGGAGCAGGGGAGCCCCGCCGTCGCTCCCCGTCCTCAGTGACACGGACGCGTTCAGCAGGACTCGTTCGTGTTCAACAGTATCCATGGCGATTGTCTGCACATCAAGGCTGAGTTATTACACACCCTTGCAAACAATGCCATT